CATCCCGGAGGTGCTACCACGGTCGCTCGTGGCTTTGGCCTGGGCCAGCGGCGGGTCTGTCTTGGAGCCAGCTGATATTGGCTCTGTCGGACATGGGGGAAGCTTCTAGCAGCTTCTCACAGAAGTCACCCCTGTAGCCCCTCCACCCCCCCAAACCTTGCTGCGCAAACCCAATACAAATGGGTATTTATTTTGTCTAGGTAGAAATTTAAAACGCGGTGTCACTGAGAGTGTAAGACACTTGTGGGCCTAGAATCAGCTTTACAGTTTAAACTGGAGTGTAGAAGAACTTGAACTGTAATTTTGTTTTGAAAAATAGTGGCAATAAAGGTATTTAGTGAGAAGCCAAACCAGTGAAGCTGTGTGCGTGGGGTGAGTTTGTCTTATTTTCAATCTTTCCTTCTGGCTTGGCCTGACGTATAGGAGATGTGGAATACTCTACGGTATCCTCCAGTTATCCCTGTTGTTATTGGACTAGAAACTATTAGCATCATCTTGATTCGTTACAAAGTTTGCAGGCTCCGTGTCTGTTTAATTCCTGCCCAAAGCTACTCTTTTTTTAATAGCTTGCATTCAGGAAGACAGTGTTAACCGTACCCAGCACCTTTGGGTGGGTAGGAAAAGCCTCCTGGTTCTTAGTGGGTCTTTGTCATTTGGTGGTGGAGAACACAAGCTGGTGAAGATTTTGTGACTAGGTCAGTTTAGCCGTTGGGCTCAGATTAGTCTTCTGTATTTCAGTTTCCTTAAGGGACTGGATTTGACCTCTGATTTAGTTATGACTATGTGTGTTTTATTAATCTTTTACAGAAATAAGCTGTTTACTCTAGCTGTTGATTGAAGTTTAGGAACTGTTTTACTCATGTTTGTTTGCTGAATGTGCTTGTAGGAATATAGCGACCCTAGAGGTGCCCTTCAGTCTGATGTCATGCTATCTGTCTGTCATCATTTTGACAAATTGAGCAGTTCAACCTGTAAACCTCAATCATTTTGTAATTATTATTTTTTACTCTATTCTTTTTCTTGATATTAAAAACTTTTCTATTTTGGAGATTGATCACCTATATGCAGTATTAGTATAATATTCTGGTTGAATACAAGATAAGTAAATTTTAACTCAAGGCCAGCAAGTAATATAAAATAATAATTGTTTGTCTGCTTGTTCCTCTCTCTCTCTCTTTTTTTTTTTTTAATATTTTTGATTATGCCGATACCCATGTAGTTAGGTCCTGAAGCTTTTGTTTGGGAAGGGAAGACAGGTGTTTAATGCTCCGTGGAGCCTGAGGCCATGGTTGTATATTCAGTAGAATTGGTTTTATGCAGTGCTCGATTACCTGTCAGTCTGTGGTCTGGATGGAGAGGGAGAACACCATAGTGTTTATGCTGATTTAGCCAGGGCCCATGATCAAATGCTGAGTTAGCTAGAGGAAGACAGACGTTGCAATGTCCAGCACAGTCTGCTGTTAAAACTTGCCCTTTCAAAATTTGCAAATGCACTTGTATCAACAGATTTTTTTTTTTTTTGTCTATTAAAGGATTTGCATTATATGACTTGATTGTCTTTCATCTAGCACTGAGATGCACTAAATCTGGAATTGCCATGTTATGAAACCACAGCCTGAATTTCTTCCACAGTGGAGATCAGACTTGCTAGTAAGGACTGGGTAGCTGCCTGTACTATATTTGTCCCAAACTGTACTTTTTGTGGTTATGCAAAAGGCTTCGTTTTCAATGACAATAAATTTGGTACTCTTATGATCACTCTGTTCACTGAACTGTAGAATAATTAAATGGGAATATTTTTATACTGATGAGAATTCTTAAAAGATAATTTCAGATCACCAGTACAGTTTTTGCAACATAGCCAGCGATGTTTCTGATAGGTGGTAAGTTCTGGTACTAGTAGTTACCTTCCTCTGAAAGGAATGCTGCTGCTGAATGCCTGGTCAAATTCAAAATAATTTAATGACAGCAAGCAGATGTTATCATCTCATGAGAACTCTGGAATGCAGTCTTTGCCATTTGGGCATTTGTTATTTTGATGATTGAAGAAGTATGATTTAAAAAAAATCATGATTTAAAAAAAAATTTAGTGATTGAATACAGTATGATTTAAAAAAAACCAACCCAAAACCCAAACAAACACCCGCAAAACACCCCCCACCCCTGATGTTCCCTAGCTGACATTCCAGGAAAAGCACAAATGAAGGAAGAAAAAGATCTAAAGGAAAATGACAACCATATTCAAAATAGGGCTTTATAATAAATGGAAATCCAGTTTCTCTATAAGTTTGATACCTAAGTTGATTGTTAGTGAATATTTTTGCTTTATAAACTGTGGTTGTGATTGTCACCATTGCCTTTTTTTACAGAGGAACCCCAAATATATTAGTTGAAGTTGATGAGGAAAAAGTGTTATAGTAGAAAAACGTATGATAACTACCATAATGCAGAGATATGAGACAAATGTTTACTGTATTTTGTAAGAAACCTAAATGGAATTGGAAGTTTCATATTTTGTTGTGCAAATTTCTGGCCACACTGGCATATTTAGATGTTCTAATTCAAGGTTTGTGTATATTTTCTGTGTTAACAAACTGGGAGTAAAGACACGATTGATAATAAAGTAGAGAGTAAATAAATTTAAACAAATAGGTGCTCTTCTCTATGTTCTTACTGGAAGTAACTAGCTGTGGGAAATAAAGCAGATGTCTGAAGTTCTCAGAACTCTCTGCTTTCACAACATAATCGTCATTTTATAGAAGCTTTATTGAACTATGATTTCTTTTGCTGTTTTATTACATTGGATGCATAATGTAACACACAATTGATTGGAAATTGTTCTATTTTTGGGATTTTTTTTTTCCCCCAAGATAAATCTATAGTAAATTTTAACAAGTTGATATATTTTTATTTTAAGGAACAAGAAATGCCTTAAATTTCTTTTTAAAGTCTTTCTGTTAGTTAAGAACTTTAAAAAAATAATCCAAATGTGTAACAATAATGAATACTCTGTATTCCTGGTACAGGAGGAGAAAAAACCAGACAGCTTGCAGCCAGACAGCTCTCTTCTGAAAATAACTACCAAAGTCATCCGGTAGTATTGTAACAAGTAAAATTTGTACTTCAGTTTTTTTCATTCTGTTTTTGTGCTCTCCAGATACTGTCTGAATTTTCTTCAGAATCGGTATATTTGAGAGTACTTGAAAGGAGTGAAAGAAACGTGAATATTGTTTTGCCCAGCAGTTGAAGAGAATTAGTTCCAAAAGATCCTAATTTGTGTCTTCTCAAAAAAACCACGGTGTTTTTCTTGAATAAACTGAACTTCCTGTGCATGTAACCATTCAGAAATGACTTCACCTATTGAAACATGTCTTAAACAATGATGCTACAGACATTTTAAATTTGGTTATTGATTTATTGGCTAGCCTTCTGTATGTGTGTTTTTAGCTAGTCTAAGAGCTTTTTGGCTGGCTAAAATAGGTATGTACCTAGCAAAGGCATGTGTGCTCCATGTATAAAAAAGATAATAGGAAATATGTATAAAATAATATATTTTCTTTCTAAACTTTTATTCTATCTTTTCTTTTTTAATTCCAGAGTAACAATTTGTGAGTTAGTGTAGTGTTCTGTAACATCATGATTTGGATTCTTATGTTTCGTTTATTTTTTTTCAAGAGAGCAGTGAAATTACGTATCTTGCATGTTAAAGGAATCTACTTTTACTTGCAGCGTGCTTTGAAAATGTCTGAAAATTCCAGTGACAGTGATTCATCTTGTGGCTGGACTGTCATCAATCATGAGGTACCCAATCTCAAATTAATAAAGTTCTATCAGTTTAAGACTAGCCACATGCAATAGAATATTATTTCAACTTTGCAGTTTTCGTTTAGTGTGGATCTTGCATATCAACAGAGAATACAGAAGAGAGATTTATGAATAAGAAAACATAAAACTACTGTTTAAAAATATGTATCCTTTATTATAGCTGATATAAATTTTGTTATTTAAAAGAATATTTTTTTCTACAAAGGTTTTACTTTGAAGAATTGCTAGAATTTTAGTGAGATGCTCTCCTCTGTTCCATCTTTCCTGAAAACATTGACATTCTATGTAACTTGTTTGTTGTTGCTAATATATTTCTTCTTTTCCTTCCAAATCCTTCCCTCCCGCCCCCCCCCCCAAGTTGGGAGTAATGGGCAGGAAAAATATCTCATACAGAAGGGAATGATTCCATGATTTCTCCAAGTCTTTTCTACCACTAAGGTATCTGATCCTACCTTTAACAGCTGCTGTTTAGGAACAGCCCTCTGTCCTTACATTCTGTCTTATGAAAAAATAGGATAGGGACAAGTTTATGCTCAATGACTAGAATACTAGAAGAAGGCATTTTCGAGGCTCATGTGAATGCTATAGTTCGTGCATAACTGACTGCTTTTGTTCCTGACCGGAACAGTCTCTGTCTTTGAGTTGAGCCTCTGAGCTCAGGAGGTTGAGGACTGGCATAAAGACATCTGAGTTATATGCTGCCTCTAATCTTTTGTATTGCTTCACTCTGCTTACTGAATGCATAGGCAGTTTGGAGAAAGATGCGCGTAGGCCTGTTGGGTCTTATTTGCATGATTTCAAGCACTTTCATTTGTGTGTAATGCTGTTCTGCATTGAGAAGGAGAGATACGGGGAGTTTAGAGGGTCTGGGGTCTCCAGAAATCAACAGCGTTGCAAAGACGGGTTGGAAATCCCTTGGAGAGGGTTATGTAACAGAGAGTATGTAGTTATATGTTCCATACCCAAGATGCTGGAGTTTTCCCAGGCTTTCTTGCCACAAGTGGAATCTGGGGGAAGCTGCAGTGAGTAGAGGAATACCAACATTTTATTAGGTTTATTGGGAAATGAAGGTGATGGGAGGGCAGGGCAGTGCAGGTCTCCTTACATCTGTACTGTAAGGTCAGGAGTGAGAAGTGTAGCCTTCTCGGAGCTGAAAATGGTGATTGGTGAGGGCTTGCCATGCTTACGCTTGGCGGGTCTTGAAAACTGTAACAGCCTGAAAGGCTTGGAGGTGGTAATAGATTCTTCTGTGAGAAGGATTGAGTTTTGAAGTGACTTTCTTTTCTGTTTTCCAAGGACTCGCAGCAGCTTTTAGCACAAGTTCTTTGCAATTCACGTTGGAATTCTGGGTTTCCTTGGCCCTATTGTTGAGGCAGGAGAGTGCAAGGCATAAAATATGTAGAAATAACCTGGATATTGGCACCTTGTGGAGGAGGAATTCATATGGCAGTGCAGGACTGAGCTAGTGGCAGCAACTAAGAGAATGTTTTTTATTTTTTCCATTAGGCAAACTGTCACTGAAGAGATAGATTGCTTTTGTGTATTTCCTTATGGGAGCTAATTATTGTGTAAGGAAGTTGTGATGGTAGATTGTGTGGCAGCAGGTAGAAGGAGTTAACAGACTGTGTGCAAGGCAAAAAACTGTTCTTGGTTCAAAATAACCTGTTGTCTTTTAAGACCTATTCAATTGCTGTATGGAGCTCCATCAAATTTGTATGGCTTCACTTGTGTTTCTGTCCATCTTTTGATCTCTGCTATAGCTTCATTTATTAGGCATACTTTTATTTGGGATGAAATGCTAGAATTCCCTCATTCTTTGATCAAGTCTTGGGGTATAGGTATTTGTAAAGTCAGTATTATGTCTGTGTAGCCCTGGTTTAATTTGTGTGTTTGTGTTTCCTGTCTTCTGATGTTTGACTGGTTGTATAAAGTGACAAGGGCATTATTAAAACAAAAGTAATTTTTAATTCCTAGTAGAATAAAGCTTGAGACAAAAGAAAAAAAGTGAAGCAATTAAACGTCTGTTGGGATGGGATTCGTTGTTGCCTAGGTGTCTACAGGGTAGTAGGTGTCTGAATCTGATGTTGGTTTCTAAGTTTGCATTGTACAGATTAAATCAATACAATCAATGGAGTCTAGAGCATAGTAATTCTTATGCTAAGGTCAACACTTATATTTGATCAAATGACTTGCTGTCTTGGCTCCACTGACTGTATTGATTGTAAATGTGCCTTCAACAATTCGCTCAGGTGTAGACACTTGGGAGTTAAATAAGATTAATGTTTTATCTTATTTTCCTGTAGCAGTGAACAAGGCAGGCCTAAGTTGCTCAGAAACTCTGAGAGGCCCTCCCTATTAGTGTGGACCTCCAGTATGCTTTTCTCCTTTAGTCCTGGGGAGTTTTCTGTCTCTTCAGATCTTGGCTGATGCATGAGTGTATTATGGGGGTTTTCTTTGTTTTGTTTTGTTTTTTAAGTATTTAGCATTGTCTTGTAAACTGAGCAGGTTATTGAGGCAGAATCCTCAGAGCAAATGGGTTAACTGTTTTCCTGGAATGACACTTACATATTGGTTGTCTGTATCTTCTTGTTGCCTGCCCCAAAACATTTTCAAGGAACAGTACTTGAGATATTTCATTCATAGGAGGAAAACAGAAAATAATGGGAAGAGATCATGGGTAGTGATCAGCTGTTTCTCCTTCACTGCATACTCCCCTATTTGCAGATTATAATGAAAATCTGGGTAATTCGAAAGGCATGCCATTACAAGCTTGTGATTGTATTCAAGTTTTGAAAGCTCAGTTCAGTTTCAAAAGCAAGAGATACAGTTTGTGGCTTATAAATGTTGGGCCATGGTTTCATTTCTGTTGGCAGCAAGCTGGTATTTAAGAGGTGGTTAAAACTACTTTTCCTTGTTTTGGGTTGGATGACAAGTTGGGAATCCTGTTACCAAAAGAGAAACAGAAAACTCGCTCACTCCAGTCCTCAAGACCAAGCGGGATACAGGAGTGCACAGGCTGCCGGACTTTACAGACTTCTAATAAAAGTGAAAGGATTTAGATATTGGCTACCACAGTTGGGTTACTCAGCTGTGAATTGCAGGCTTTATTTTCATACTTGGGATGGTTATTTTACACTGTAACTGAAAATGAATTATGCAGTCTAAATAAATTAAGATAATACAAGATTTATAGGAAGGCAGGGATTTGTCTAGCCAAAGCAGAACAGATTTCTGTGCTGTAGAGATTTTCTGTTCCCAGTTATTCTTCTCTGATTAAAAGAAATAAAATAATTCTGTTCGGGGTGGGAAAACACTGGTGTTTAAGAGCTTCCATTATTGGTGTTCTCCCGGCAAGACAGCTTTGAATCTGAGCATGAAGAAAGTAGAATGAATGGGATGGCAAGATACCCTTCACACACTTGTTATCCAGGAAAGGGGTGGCATGTGGACTACTGTATATACTTTGGGGAAATGATTTGGATATTTAGAAAAGGGATAGAGCTAAAGATTGGACAAATTTGGAATAGTACTATAGTATTATTCTCTCACGTATTGTTGCAACCTGTATTGTGGATTTGTTTTGCCATTTACAAAGGCACCGAGTTAAGAGGGGCAAGAAATGGCAATTGGCTAGATTGTGACTGCAGAGAACCGACCGCTGTGTATACTGAGTTTAATACCTGCTTTGAACAGAGAAGTGATGCTGTGTATCGTTGGACTACTCTTAAGAAAGGACTTGCTAATTTTGTGTAGGAGTGTAGGAAGAGGGGTGTAGTGAGGAGACAATATCCTTTCTCAACCTCTTTGCTGTTGATGAAATGAAGGGTGATGGAGGTCTAGCAACAGATTAGGTGACCCGGAGAGTTCAGACATCCACACCAGACTGCACATGCTTAAAAAAGGATGTTGTGGAGCCTGGACAAACTCAATTTTGGTTTTTCTTTTTCTTCTTCACACTTAAGAAACAAAAGTAATGGTTCTATTACACCAGAGAACAATTGTCACATAATAAATCTATACACCTATCTATAAAACCCAACTGAGCCAAAACCCCCAGATAGTTTTGTATTTCCTTTCCTGAGATTTCACTCAGATTTTAATAAGTTCTAATGTAAGTTACTTATAATTGAGCAGTGAATTTCTGCAAAACATTTGAGACTGAAATTGTGATACTTTTGTAGTCAAAAGAAAAAAATACAAAGTATTTGTCAAATTACTAAAGCAGTTAATTTCTGAAGCCTTTTAAAAAGGAACAAAACTTTGTAATGTGATTGTGGAATGTATCTTATGCAACTCTTTTTGAGGTATCTAATCTTCCTGAAGTACAGTCTCCTCTTAAAAACAAAAGCATACATGTTTGCTTGAGTCCTGAAATGAGGCATCTTGGGAAGCTGATCTGGAAGTATTACTACTACTGTAATTTCACACCTGCTGTTGCAAAAATAACTATCTCTGTTTACAAAAACAGCTCAAGTTATTTATGGATCAGAGTGACTTAGTATTTTTCAGTTACGTTTTGCATGTTTGTAGTTTTCTAATAACCTTACTTGTGTTCCATCAGTTCTTTTAAACAAAAATTACAATATGATGATTAAATATTTAGAGTTGTCAGCCATATTGCTTGCCTTTAGTGCCCTGCAGTCTCCCAGCGTTGTTTATCTTCAGTTCCTGTTTTGCTCTGAGGTTGTTGCTGACTGGCAGCTGGCTAATAACTAAGGGTCCTCTCTGTATTAAAGACAGAAATCCAACTTAGATTGGATTATCCAATTTATTTGGATATCCAATCCAAATAAATATTTGTTTACCCAGTGTCAGAGGTGTACTATTAAAACAGCCATTCAAATTTGCTGATAGGAATTGAGATGGAGTAGAGTTATACATATCTTTTCCTGGTAGTAGTACTTGTTAGAGTTCATGGTGGTACTCTTGGAGTTCCATTTTTGGGGAGTGTGTGTGTATTTACATACAATACATGGACACGTGTGCAAGAACTAGATCCCATATTCAAAACTCATTTGACAACCTCCTCTGTTTCTCTAAATTCTATTTAATAAAATAAGTCTAATAAAGCTAATAGGAAATAGTTATTTAAAATACTTAGCATAGTTGTTAATTGACGCCTAAATTGCTTTTTTTTTTCTCCCTAGAATTGTCCTACTCTGCCTTTTTTTCAATCATGGTCATAAGTATTGCACACTAACAGTTGTTTCCCTCTAGTTAGTTACTTGGTATTTCTCTTGCTTTGCTTAAAGTCTTCTTCAGTTTTAGAGTTGATTATTCTTCTCTTCTGTTTTTATTATTAATGTTCTGTTTTCTTTGTAACCCTTTCCTTCTGCTTTACTGATGGAAACCCCAATAACTGTAACGTTTATCTAAAACGCTTCAACTCCAGGGTTCTGACATAGAGACAGTGACTTCAGAAAATGGAAGCACAAATGATAACCATGAGTTTGTTTCAGAAGAATATGCTTCCTTGCAAGAAGAGGAGCAACCAATTGATTTGCAAGGTAAGCTATTAAAAGAGGAGCAGTTCCATAAAATAGGTAAGTGTCTGTTGTAGCATTGGCACAAAACTAGTATTTTTAATAGAGTTTGTATACTTTGTAGGCCTCTGTCAAAGTACTTGCTTCATCAGTGTTACGGAAAATATTCTGTCATCAACTTTATAAAAGTATTTTTTCTTGAAAGAGATGAAATTAGTAGAATGTCTTTCATTTTGTAAATACATTAGATGTGTTACAAAATAGTATGCACTGGTGTTGCTGGAAAATAGTTTATAGAAGTGATGTTGATAAAAGAAATTTACTATATTAAACATTCCTTAATAATGTCATAGATCAAATAAGAGTAATTTGGAAGGAACCATCAATGCTTTTACACCTAAAAAATAACATTGTGGCGCTGTGTTAGCATTTCTTGAGTTGGAAGTGTAAGTCTGGTGCATATTAATATAATGAAAATCCTTCTGCTTACTTTAATTACTAAATTTAATACTCAATTTGTTAATATTGGCATGACAACACAGACGTGACAGGTTCACTATGCAGTTGACTAAATTTGAGCTTGGCCATGTTTCCAGATTCATAACCTCTCCTTGTAGAAACAGGACTAGACACTCAAACTCCAGTGACTATCTGGAAAATATTTTAATTATCCTAGCATACAAATGTACTGTGGTATCAACTTACAGTGTAGTGTTGGTTTTTACCTAACTGTGCTTTTCAGTTATAAGTTACTTGCATTATGATCAGTTTGAGCATTTGAATTTAAGTATCCTCCAAAACATTGTATTACATAATGACAAATTGGATTATGATGTTTGTTAGAGGGATATTAAAAATGAAATTTAGTGTATTTTTAGAAAAACTTCCCTGATATGAGTAGATAATAGAAATCGGTCACAATTATACATATTTTAATATTATACGGGAGTGGGCATAATTTGTGGAGTTACTGGTTTTAATCCGTGTTTGTTTGTTTTTTTCCTCTTTTTATTTATATAGCTCAGTGCAACAATGATGGAGAGATACCACTGGTAGATAATGCTCTCTCTGCTTTTGAGGAAACTCAGACAGTTCCAGAGGTAAATTACGTTACGTTATTCAGAAGCTTCTGTAAGCCCCATCTGACAATGCCAAGCAATGTTTTGAAGGCATTAAAATAAAGATACAGATTTTTCCTTTCTTTAAAGCATTAAGAATTCTTGTTACTTTAAAAAATTACTTTATATTGTATCTGAATAATTTTTACATTGTCCATTTCCTAGGGAA